GTACAGCCCCTACTCACACTTCTCCAGAGAGAAGTGTTTCGTACTTTCTTCCTATGTGCATGATCAACTGAACCAGGTTTCTAGTTAGAGACTTAATCACCTGGAATTCACCCTAGCTATGGCACAACTCTGTCAGGAAGGAAAAGGGAGTGCTGCTCTCAGCACCAGCTGAACAACTCTAGCCAGAGATGATATGGCTCTTGAGATCTGGTGGGGGATGCAGAAAAAGGTTGCAAGAGGTGGGCAGGGAGGGATCTGCGTCAAGTACTCAAAGAATTAACATCACCTCCTTATACTAAAATAAGCAGGACTTTGGATAAACTGGTCTTTGTAGGTCCCTTCCAACTTAGAATATTCTGTAATTCTGTGATTCTGCCAAAATTACATAGACCTCTCATCTATGCCATAACATGAACTGAAAATATGGATGGTAATTACAGCTCCCTGTATAGTCCTAGCTCTTAACAAATAATAATTTTATTTCCATCAGAGAGAAGGAGGGATTGATTTGCGAAGTGAAGAGCTAAGGTTTGTTGATGGAACTTTCCAATTCAGGAAAAGACATGTCTTGAAAATCAGAAATTGGTAAATGAATATAAATCCACATAAGACCTTAATTCCACTCTGTCTCAATGATGCCTCTGGATTCCCTTATCACTTTACTGTGACTGCTTTTGAACTGAACCGAACATGAGCCAACCTCTCCAGACCTATAGGCTACCACTTAACTTTCTGCACAGAAAGAGCAGCACAGCTGTTAAACTGTGCACTGAGCACTCCATCCCTCTTATATCCCCACAGTCATTTGCATGCAAGGCCACTGATGCTGCACTTTCCTCACTGTAATCACACCAGCAGCCCGTGATCACCTCCCACTGAACTGCTGGCAGTTCCTTGGCCAAAAAAAAGTGCTGTGCCCTTGTCTTTCTGCAGTCCATATGGTGCTGTGGCGAAATCAGAAAAGGCATGCTGGCTCCTTCCAGAGACACACCAACATCTTTTTTGGCATAGTGGTCAGGCAGAGGGTTGCGGCTTTCCCAGACCATTTCAAATGGGGCTGCTCCAAAGTAGCTACTCGCTATGCAATGCAGCTGCCTCTGATTCTGCAAATGCAGATGGTGTACTTGCCACTGCCAGGTTCAGAGAGGCCAGCTCACACTCACATGTCTATGCTTTGCTACTGAGCTTGCAGAAACGTGTTATTTATAGGTATGGACCTTCTGGGAGGACCCAAACTCGCTGAGACATCGGGTAGAGTCAGCTAAATTTCTTATTTGATCTAATTTGAAACCTGCTGTAAAAGACCGTAGTGAAAAGTTTTATTCACACATTAAGCTCTGTGAGTTTGCAGGCTGTGTAGGACCTAATATATGGGGGGAAAGAAGTAGAGAAGGGAAGAGTGAGATAAATTATAATGAGGTCTGAAATGCAGTTAGATATTTCATACACAAAGAAGACAATTGTGCCAAACTACCCTTCTGGGCACGGTCTTTTCCTGACACAGCACATGCAGTTCTGATCACCTGGAGAGAAGGCTGAGATTTATATTATTTCCAAATTAAATTAGGAAGAAGAGTTTAAATGCAATCTACATTTGTATTGCAGAAGAAGGGGCTGGAGGCATGTTTCAGTTTGAAAGCCATACAAACCTAGGTTGAGAATTGCTGCTTTTGCAGCATACTCAGTGTGTAATGCACCAGAAGTTGTCACCTGGGCAGAGGGTGTCAATTTGCTGCCACAAGGAAAGGAAGGGATTTGGTCATTGAATTTCCCACTGTCCCAAGCATCATCCATGATGCAGGATGGTAGTGGTGGTAGATTTTGCATTAGAAGCACATTACCGATTTCCTGAGGCTTTAATTCCTGAGGGGAATTAAAGGCCTCCATCCTGAGTTTTTGTGAAAAACGACTACTCCTTCCCTATAAAATCTTTTAAAAGTATTTCTATCCCCAGGATTGACCCTTTCTCTCTTCAGATGCACTGTGTGATGTTCTGTGTTGTGATGTGCAGTGCTGGGTACTGTCTGTCAGGTCATGTTAAGCCAAAGGAGTGGCCTGAAGCAGAGACTCAGAGCCATTCCCAATAAAATGCCAGCAGAGTGGAAAGCAATAGTTGCCCATAATTTGAATTTCATGCCAGTTCATCATGGAAATCTTATGTGACAGTTTGATGTGCCCAAGAGCTTGTTCAAATAGATGCCTGCATCCTCAGAAATTCTGTTTGCTGTTTCGTGTTGCCCACACGGCTTGCTGGACACTCATCGCACAGCATAACATCGCTCCACCAGCGCCATGAATGTTTAAAATGAAAGCTTCCTCAGTAGTTGAGAAAGTACAGTTCCTAATTGTAACAGCTGTGTAGAAATGGAAAGCTGGAAACCACTGGAACTGAGTTTTAAATTGGCAACAAAGTTGCAGAGAAAAAAAAAAAAAATTACACGTTTTTGTCCTGGATGAAACAAGGTGTACATGTGTCATCCCTCTGGCAGCCACTGTGTTTTAGGCTCTGTTGCTGCCCCAAGAGAGCTTTCTCTGGCCTCTCCATGAGGCAAACACTTCTGCAGCATCTCCTCAAGGTCTGCAGGAGTTCTGCCCCTCCCCAGTCATATCAGAATTCCACCATTCACACATGCCAGCTTCACAGGAGAAGAAATGAAGGCAGTACAAAACTATGTCATCTGCTGGGAGAAAACACTGAAATCTTCTCAGTCATTGCAAGAAACTGTGATCTATACACCCAGTGGTCTGTTATCCAGGAGTTTCTCGTTGGTATCATAGCCTAGGAGAGTTTTTAAAAGGGATTTAAATGAAAATAATGAGGAAGTTTATGAATTTTTAAGGAATTTTATTCAAGAATGAAAGGCAACATGGAAGAAGATAGAGAAACATTTGCAGTGTCAATAAGGCAAAGGTATTGGAGGCTGCTGCCTTGGGCAGGAAAGAAACAGAAGCAACAACTTAATGAAAGATAATACTGAAGGGCAAGATATGTCATTCACTGAAGTCAGGACAAATAACAAGTATATTTGCTGCTTGACAGCAAAGGGAGAGCTGTGGAGAAGGACAAAATGAAATACATAGCCAAAGGGATTGGTTAAGAAAATTCTCCCTGCAACAGCATTAGGGACTGAAACCTGCAAGTCATAAATAAAGGGTAGTGCTTGCCCATTTTGCATACTTAGCATGGATGTGAATGAAACCAAGAATCTTTCACTCAGAAAAATCCCTGATGAATTCTACCCTTCTCACATCATTTCACAAGACAGCTAGAACAGCTCCAGGACACTCTGGTTTGTTCTCCAGATATTAGAGCTTTAAATTCAAGTTCAAGCTTTTAATTCTAGCATGTGCAAATTCTGTAGGTTTCCTTTGCTGCAGAGTAGGTCTCAGTGGCTCGTTCCAGCCAACATTTGTAGCATTAGGGTGTTCACTCCAGCCTGAATTCCTTCTTTGGCCACCAGTTGATCAGCTATTTAAGGGAGAAAGCAAATCCCAAAATTATCAAGAACCCCTGATCAAAACACTCAGAGATCCTTCAAGCTTTGTATGAACACCACCATAAATTCAATTCACAAGCCAAGTTAAATAATGACAAACTACTTAACCTCAACTGGCAACTTTCCTGAAGTTTTTGTTATGGAAAAATTCATCAGCCTCATGAACAGATCTGAGGCTGGGCTTCCAGGCACAAATACAGCATTGCTGTTATTGCTGTGATGACTACTTCTACAACTACTTGTTCTTTAAAAATGAGACATCACATGCATCTAAAGTTGAGAGTGCATCTCAAATAAATGGCAATCTCTGATCCCTACTGCTGACACAAGGCAGAAGGTATGTGCCAGCTCTTTGCTTATGATAATAAGCAGAGGGCAAGTGCCACCTCACCATTTTTTCAGGGAATACAGAAGGTGTTTTTCTCTCACATTGCCAATGAACAGGTTGAATCTGTTTATGATACCTTGTAGAAAGCAGGTGGTATCTGCTCGGGATGCCAAGGAACAGGTAAGTGGCATCTGCTCATCATGCTACCCAATTGTGAGTCAATTAACATTAGAGTGAATGTTTAAAATGCTTTAAAAATATTGAAATAAGAACTCAATTACATATTAAAAAAGGGGAAAAAAGTTACCTTTTTATTCCAAATCGTTTATATATAACAGTTTGGAGACTATCTCACTGACATTACTCAACTTATTGCAGGTAACTGCCTAAACCAAACTCCTTTAGGGTCACCTCCTACAAAGTTTTGTCACACAATTCCACTGATGAACCAAAGAAACTGAGCAGTATCTGGGGAGGCAAAATACTGCAGGGTAAGACAGCACTGAAGGAAGGAAAGTTAGTGTGGTCTGGTTCCTCTCTGGATCCCCCTGTTTTTTCGTAGTTCTGACATATGAAAACCCCAAATGCTAAACATATCTCACGCTTTTCCTCCTTGGTAGTAAAAAGGTATATAGAGGGAACTCAGTACTTTCTTAGCAACATGCACTCTCATAAATGGCCTTCAGACAAATTCATATCCTTGGATAGAACCTAATTTTGCTACATACCCTCTTCCAAGAGCACGAACAATGTGAGAAAACTTCAGACAAAATTATACATAGTAACAAAGTTAAAAAAAAAAAAAAATTGAATGTTTGACTTTGTAGCCAAAGCTGCATTTCTAGATTATTTAATTCTTTTCTAGCAGGTTCCTTTCACCATCTTCCCAGGTTGTTTTCAAAAGGATGGATACCCTTAGTTGTCTCCTGGAAAATGGTAACTGTTGTGAACACCTGGCAGTGCCTACCAGATCTCCTTTCCATGTGTTTCATCTCTGGCCTGGGCTCACTCACCTTCCGGGGAGGAAATGCTTCTTCAGTCCCAGTACCAACTGCTTTGTTCTAGAAGACCTTTCAAGGGACATGGTAGTTACATACAGGCCAAAGAGGAGTTGCACAGAGAGGATGTCAGTGATTCAGGTAGTCAGACACTGTCTCTTCACAGAGCAATAGTCCCTTTGGAAGCTGAGGAGGCTCCAGCCAATGCTGACAGTTACTGGTAGAGGGACAAAGATCAAATCCAGTTATTAAGCCCATTGATCTTAAAAGCTCACACAAACTCTGTGTTGAGACCCTATAGCAGCCCACTCAATTTTTAAGCCCCTAGAACAACCACCCAGGAGAAATATTTATTACAGTTAAATTAAACTCACATGAACTCTCCCATTCTTACTTCAAAAATGTGATTAAAAACTAGGAACAGTCTCCCGACTTGAGGCCTGTATAAACCCTCAACCTTTTAATTAAATGTTTTATGTGTTAGCAAAAAAACAGTTATTGCAGGAGATGGCTAAGGCCTTGTAATATGAGCTCAGCTCACCACCTTTTGAGGACTGTAAAAACGGGCAGAAAGCATAGAGACATCTTAATTTTGGTAAAACACAAAAATTAGTTAAAGTAACTTAAACCTTTGAGTTCTGAGACCTCTACCACACGACCTGTTCTCACACCTCTGCCACAAATCACACCAAATCTACATTTAATAAGGAAAGATATATGAAGTTATACAGGTTCAGTCCACTATTAGATAAATATTAAATATAAAGCTAAATACAGCTGACAAAATCAGGCAGAAGTAGCATGAGCTCATCATTTTCATCAGTATGCACAAGCCCTGGTAGTCTGTGATTTACAGTGTAGCTGAACATTACCTGTATTTGACAAACATGCATTTGAGGCCATCAGTTCAAATGAATTTCAATGCCTTCAGAGGAATAATTCCATTTATTTTTCTTTTAATCTTTGAATATACACATTCTTGTAAAGCAAACTACAGCAAGTGTTCTTGAATATGATGTTTCCTCATGATCATACAGCAATAATTACTGCTATGGAGTGGAAGTCTTTCTGAAAGATGTTTTGATATTTTAAGGTGCCGATTATAATTATGTGTTCCCAGCAGTTTAGATGGAAAACGGGTACTTCAACTTGGCATCGTCTCCTTCAACCCCCTGCTCCAAGCCTCAATTCTCTAAACACGCACAGACACACTCGAATAAGCAGGAAACAAATCTTATTATGCTAGCAGGAGGTCTAGGGGGTTCTGATTTTTAGAGCTGTAAGATGCTATTTGGGGACTGAAGCGATATGTGAAGAGAATTGCAAGTTGGAGTAGTAGTAAAAACTCCCAAAGGCAGATGAAGTCCCTTCTGTGAAGCGACTGGATCTTTGAGCAAGGGCAGCATATTGCTTCCCTTTTTGAGGTTTGCTTGTTTGCTTCACTGCTAAGGTGTGCTGCACATTTCAGTGGACTGGAGGAGTGCGGCCTGAGTCCTTCCCCAGAGCTATTCAGAGCCATCGCTGTCTCCCTTCAGCAGGCTACCAGTCTCATTGCTGGGATCACAGGGTATAAAAAAGCCCTTGGCTTCCATGCTGTGTTCACACAATATCCTTCCTGCTTTCTGCCTTTTTCAGGGGTGAGTGGAAAGAATAGGATAGCAGAGGCTGTCACGGTTCAAGGTCTGTGGTAGAAATCACGGCATGAGTCAAGCTCTCCCACCACTCCCAGAATTACATCTCTGCTTGTAAAGATACAGCCAATAATATGCTTCCACATCTCCCATATAACAGAAAAAAAAATTCAAGCAATTCAAAGCTAAATAGAAATAAAATGCAGGCTTTGTGCACACAGTGAATTATTTATATATAAAAAAAATCATTCTTTGAGGGTTGCTCCTGCATTCAGCTTGAATTTCACACAACCCCAAAAATTTTAAGCACACTCATTTATATTCTTAACAGCTATCCATTGCAGCCATGTTGATTTCCCATGATGTTTAATATTGGCTGCAACAAAGTTTTGTCTGTGCAGATTAGTGCAAAAGGATTGTTCTTCGTGCAAGCATCCGTTTATCCCCACAAGAAAAAAGTTCAGACTGCAAACAAGATCATATGTGATTAATTATTTAGCAAATGCTATCTCCCAGTCTTCCCATTTGAGAATTTTAAATTACCCAGCCAGAAGCCAGAAACATCTCCATTTAAGGTAGCTGTTCTGTTACACAATGGTAACAGGAGACAGTGAGACTGAATAGTCTGAAATCGACACAAAATCTACAGACACTTAGCTCAGACTGGGAAACATTTAAGAATACATTACCAGAGAAACCCTCTCATTTCAGCAATTTCATGGCTGCAAGATTGCAGGGATTGCTAATGCCATACATTTCATTACAACAGTACAGGCACAACACACTTTTCTGTAAGTCTTGATGACAGAACAGGGTTGTCACCCAGACATTTCTCCACCTACCTCTACCAAAGGTACCATGTCTTGTGTCATATTCCCTGACACTGACTGTGGTTTGAAATGTGCATGGAGCCAATTGACAAGCCCATTTGGAGGGAAGCCACTTCTTTACCCACTATACAAGTGGGCTGAAACAACACAAGGAGAACCACATCTCTGCTCCCACCTCCATGAGTTGCCAGATGGGTACATTTCCAGACACCACCTGCACTCATCACGCTGTGGGCGGTGGGTTATTTTCAGAGTCTGTACTAACATCTGTACTGCAGGATGAACCCACTTTACTGCATCCTGTAGAAGATGGATCTTGATGCCCCAAGACTGAAACTCAAGGGATTTTTCTTGGTGATGGGCTAGCCCTCAAATTCATATCAGATTGAACCACCTGGCAGAGCTGATCTGCAGGAGGTATTCCTCCCCTTTCCTCAGTCTAATAAATATTTGTGGATTGTAATAATAATGGCCAGTCTTCGCGAGCGAAGATCCGGGGAAGGTCTTTACACCTTCCAGCCTGCGCATTGGATTTTTTAGGTGAGACACAGTGTGCGCGGAACTGAGCCCACCCTTTAATCCTAAGGTTCATCTGCCAGGGCCAAGCAAGCTTGGACGGTGGCAGCGAGGTCCTCAGGACGTAGATGGGTTGCCTTTAAGGGCTAACGAGCTCCATCTGCCCGGGGAGTGGCCCTGACTGGGAATCAAACCCGGGCCTCGGTGGTGACAGCGCCGCACCCTTAACCACTAGACCACCAGGGGCTCCCTTGTGAATTGTAACTCACCAAATAAATCATCAAAGATGAAAATCCTCCACAGTGGATGCATATTATTACTGTGTAACTGTGTAACTGTACCTAGTTACTACCTTTGTGGCAGTGACTATCTCTAACCCTGAAAAATGAAATCAAGGTATTAGATGTAGAACCCTTTTATAGTCAGGAAAAAGGTTGACAGTCTCAGGAACTCAAAATTGAGTTTTGACATTTAATATTTCTGTTTTAGGAAGAATTGTCCTTTGTTAGAAATACTGGTTCACTGTCATACCAGTGCCTATCTCCCTCACCCTTTTAACTTAACAGATAATGATGTGCTCTTTTAGAAGCTGTGTCTGTTCTTGTCTCTTCACAAGTTTGTGCTAATTCTCATTGATAACTATAAGAATTAAATGGCTTTTGGGCAACCATTGATGCTTTACAGGGGCTTTCCCAGGAGGCAACTAACCAACCATTTGACTAATTTCTCTGTCACTAATAGAAACAGCTGTTCCTTCCACTGGTTAGTATGAAAGCTCAGCAAAAGCCCATTCTTAGGGGGAAAAAAAGTGCTTACATCTTGAATAGATGATATCAGAGACAGAGGTTCTCATAATATCTTCAGAAACACTGAGTTTCCTAAGGCACCTTAATCCCTTATCCATCTTATTTCTTTGGGGTAGGGATGGTCACAGAATTTTCTGGAGTTTTTTTAATCCCCTTAGCCAGTGGTCTTGCTGTCCTGTGCAAGATAATGCTGTCGAGGTAGTTCCCCACACACACAGCTTCTAAACTGACAAAATTACTTCCCTGTGTAGGAGCAAGAGGTACTGTTAGCTGAGACTCATCAGCCATGATAAAATTGATCCACTCCTCTGGTTCAACTCGGGACACCAGAGCAATCCTTAGACATTTGAATATTATTTCTGCAGGTCTTAGAATAATTCATTCTTTTGCCTTTCTTCCTCTAAGGTATATTTAATATATCCTCTCTGTAAGGCACTCAAAGGCTCACAGAAATTACTTCAGAGCCTGCATGAGGCTCGCTGGGATGCAGAAACTGGCCTCAGGCCATTCCACCTGGTGCTGGGATTCTGCCTGTTTTTGCAGTCCAAAATCCACGTTGAGTTGGTAACTGGTGGGAATATGTGTCGGTGCATATGCACAACAGCTGTCGAGGAAACTCCTGTAAGCAGCAGAACCTGGGAAAAAATTACATCTCTAATATGAACCTCATTTTCCTCATTTTTGTTCCATAGTACAATATTCAAAGCCGTCTCTAAGCTCTTGTCTGATTTTGTATGAAACTTGCAAAAATGGATCTTATGTTTTACAAGTTTTACTATACTAAGTTTTGACCAGCAACTCTGACAGGGAGATTTCTTCCAGAGGGGTATCAACTCTGAATAATCCTGTCTCTGGCTTTTCTGCAGCCCACAGTCCTGTAATAATCATGATAGCCTGCAGCTCTCTTTACTATTTCAGCAGTGTCCCGGCTGTTTATCTAGAAAAGTATTTTGCAGTGGTTTTGAGGGAGGCAGCCATCTGGATACACTCACTGAGTGCTGAACACAGTATAACAAGAAAACATTTAGCAAGAAGCATGGCTGTCCCTCCAACGTGCTGTTTCACAAGAGCCAATCTGTCTGTAAGATGTGCCTATAGAAACTCTTTGTTCTGTCTCCAAGGTCACATCCAGGTACCTTGATCCAAGCCAAATGCAGGCACTCCATCAGCTTCGTCTGTTAATTTTAATTCCTCTCAAATATTCTTACACTATTACAGTCTCCTCTAGAGCTGGGCTCCAAAACTGAGACGAAAACTAAGCAGCTACACAATACTGCAACATCAAGACATCAGAGAAATGAGGGGCTCAACAGAATCGTAATCCCTCCTTCCTCTGTAGAAAGCAGTGGTTCATGAAGCTGTGAGATGATCTCCACCTACATGTTTCAGCTGTGGCTACGTTCAGATCCCTGGTATTTACACCTGCATCCCTCAGCTTCACCAACACCGAAAGCTGCAGACAGAGAAATCTCCCCGTGTTCATAGCACAGTTGTACAGACACGACAGGATTGCTGGCACAGATCCTTGTCACAGCCCAGTCCCTCAGAAGTGTTCAAAACAATTTTGAACTCATGTCCTACTTGGAGAAATGTATGCAAAACCACAAATCACATCCTACCATCCAAATAGCTGAGATGTCCAATTATTAATTAACAGCTCTTTTTATACCCAGAGGATGAAACCTTGTTGCTTCTGCACATCTGTGATTCTTCAGGAAAATCACAACCAGTTGTATAGATTAATCAAGACAGTCTGAAGTGCTGCAAGGCTGCTAGAGTCTCCCTACCCCTGAAAAGCTGTACCCCTCCACACCTCTGGCAAGAAGAACTTCAGTGGGGCTGGCTATGAGGGCATCATGAGGTACCTAGAAAGACACAGGAGGCATGCTGTCAGAAGGCTGGAGCTTGTGCAGCTCCAGCTGAGAGCAAAGTGCTGGATAGTCCTGTGTGTGCTGTAAACCAAACCCCCATGCCTCCATCTCAGCATGCAGACGGGGATATTTTTAACCTCTATCCCTGTGTTGTAGTTTATGATCAGTAAAGGGGAGTTAATGCATGTCCAGGTGAATGGTATAAAAATAAGTGCATTAATATTTGTGAAGCATTTAGGTACTGTAGCAGCGAACATCAAAGGAGAGCCCAGGAGGAAAATAACAACTTGTTTGCTGAGTAAGGCTTGAATGGTGTGTGCAAATAATTCATGGGGCTGCTCATGGAACAATGAGGAAAACACGCCTAGCGAACATCTGCTCATTCTTTGTGTACCCCTCTTCTGTGCACTGGAGAATGCACAGATATGGAGAACCTGGTAGAAAAGCAGTGCTCAGGCATGTAAATATTGCACACAAATTCATTGGATTTGGACAGGCAGCCTAATTTCTAACTTCTCCTTTTGCAGGAAGGGGACTTCATTTAGTAGGATAAGTGGGCAAAATGAAAGAAATTATATCAGGCATGTGTTTCCATCATGCCTAAAACTGTTTTTGCCCACCCAGCCCAGCAGTATAGAACTAGGTTTGCTTTGGGTTCAGTTTTCTGGTACAAAATCCTCAAACCAGAAGAAATGAGGAAGAAAACAGATTTGATTCTAAAAAGACATGTTCCAGGTCCTTTGCTGTTGAAGGAGGCTAGTGAGTGTTTAAAGACTTTTGGTAGAGTAATTCTATACAGAGAAGAAATGCTTCTACATACATCAAGATTTTTTCTCTACATTTCTATCTGAGTACATTTGTACAAAATATTTTGTGCTTTGAAGTGCCAACTTTTTGTATTTGCTGATGAAATAATACAGTTCTGTTGACTTATGCATCCTTAATTTATGTAACTACATTGAAAAATGGTGGATTTGCTAAAATATTTTATTATCAAGCATTTAACATATGTTGCAGAAGTAAATCTGAACTAGATACCAGTGCAGAAGGCAGTGCTGAAAGAATAGGTGCTTATGGCCTATTCTGTTTCATTAAAATCAGTGGAACTGCTGGGATTTTTTTTCAAAAGGGCCAGGCAAGCACATTCATAGTGGAAGGATGGCTTTATGCTAAAGGGACCCAGAGGTCAGTTCTCTATTTTTAGTCCTGACATAGTCTCATTGCAATCCTGCTTTAAGTCATCTAATCTGTGGAGTAATAATGTTAATCTTGTGCTTTATAAACTCACCTTGCTCCTCCACAAATTGCTGTAAGCGCTTTTACAAGACTTAACATGTTTCTGGCTTTCAGTGATCAAACTCAAATCCACAGGCCAGGAACAAAACATTGTAAAAGCTCAAATTCCAGCTAGCACAAGGATATAAGCACAGTGCAGGGAGAAATGCCACCTGCAAATGCCTGTCAAGAGATGCACCCAGCTTTCTTTCTTTGAGACCTCTCTGCCCCTAAACTTTGCCACCTTCCTCACACAACACGTCCTTTCCCACACAGTTCCTGTTGGCCCTGGTCAGACACAGCACTCACCAGGTCTGATCTCTTACCTTTGTAGAGCAAGGCACCAGCACAGCCTCTGAAGCACGGTGTGAGAAGAAGCACTCTCTGTGGAACAAGAGGAAGACATAATACTCATGAATGAAGTTCTCATTCAACATCAAAAGCATCTTCCCATTTTGATTTTTTTTTTTTTTAATACTACTGGATTTTACTGGATTTATTCATTGTTCCTCTTGCATGCAAGGTCCTGGCCATGTAACCCTCTAACTCATAGGTTACCCAATCTACCTCAAGTCATAGTATTTTCAGAAAATTCAGTGCTGAAAAATGATTCCATTCTTTGTCCTCCTTGGCATAAGAAGCTGTGGAGTTGTACTAGCATGACACTTGGTCTGTATTTTCTTTAAAGACATAACATGAAACTTCTCCTTCCAAGACTCCAAATTCCCCCATATGCCTGTACTCTCCTAACTTCCAGATCTGAATTACTTCACTACAGCTTTACCATGAATTTAAACGAGTCTGCTGGTTGTTACTCGTTGCATGGCACACAACTCCTGGAGTTTACTGGCAGGTTCACAGCCATAGCACTCTCCATCCCATATGCTCTCAGACACACTTCTCTGCTGAAGCTGATGAGGCTCAACCAATTTCCATCAAAAGAGGTGGTTCCTAAACTGTATTTCTTTGTTGTTCTGTTTATGAACAGTTTGAATTCAAATATTTTCCTAGTGAGGCAATAGATATATAATCTATTGGATTTTGTGCAGTAAAATTAAAAAGAGCTTATTTCAAACTTATAATGGTGGTGGTTGTGCTAAAGAGAAGTAGATTATTAAATGAAGGCAACAATAAATCTGTCAGAGCAAACTGTAGAAACCATTGCCATTGGGTAGTAAAATGGCTGTGCACTGACTATTGTTTTACTATAACAGCTACCACTAAACTGCAGTTTTATCACCACCATTATTGATTTATTTTCCTGAACTTCCAGAATACAGCCCTGTTAAAATCTTAATTTAAAGAGTATTTCTTTTTTGTTAGCACTCAAAGAAGAAGAGTATCAGGACTCTACCCTTACATCAGAGGCAGCTGTGTCACTCACACCGGACTCCGCAGAGGGTATAATGTTTGAGCTTTTACCTGGAGGTGAAGCTCTGGGTAGGAATTATCTCCTCAGTCAACACCAAAAATGAGAGAAATGTGTGCAGGCTGAGCAGGGCTTAGTTTGCATGGGTGCTTTTGGCAGGAAGAAAGGACTGGGCTATGACTTCAAAGGAGATCGGTCACCATAGATCACCCAGCTGAGGAGCTCAGCCTGGACACCTGTGGACCAGAAACCTGATAACATCAGCCAGAATGATTCCTATCCAGGACACCTGAACTTGTCCAAAAGGTGCAGTGACCCAGTCACCCTTTCAGCAAAGCCTTGTAACAGACTCGACACCTTGAGGGGGATTCTTGGAGGTTTTCTAGATTTAATGAGTCAGGTTGGAAACAGATGCTGAACTTCCAGAGAAACTCAGAGTTTCATGAATTAATTTTGTCTCTGGATTACTAAGGCCTATCATGCCTAAGTCTTGTATAGATGTAGACTGAGCAATTAAATTAATTCAGAAAAAAACAGAAAATTGCCGAACTCTGTCACAAACCCTACTTTTAATTAAACACTGAGGGGGATGGGAGGAGCCTTGGTCTGTTCATCCATAAGCATCTCACAAAAAACTCTCATTTAAACTACCCTAAATTTTCTATTAATAATGTCAAGGACAACAATGTATCTACACAAACAGAAAAACTAATGAGGAAAAAACTAGCACCAGGGACATCACATGATACAGTTACTGCTGTAAAAGCAAAAAAGGTAGCTGGTCGGGTAGGAGAGAAGATTGCTTTGCCTTTGCTACTCTTTCTATTGCAGTGTCCTTTATATATGCAGGCTGAGTGGAATGCATCATAAAAGGTGACATTTTATAACAGCAGTTTGTAAATTTTACAGAAGCTTACTGCCTGTAAATCACACAGCTTATACCCTCACTGACTTTACTACTGCAAACCCAGCCATGGATAAACTCCATGCCAGTTTACTTGAAATTTATCTTTTTTATTCAGACCTAACTGAGGTCTTTTAATATTCCTTTTCTTCTAATGATAAAGACATCCTGATAATCTTATTTTCTTTACAGACATTTTGAAGGACTCTATTTTATCTTGAAAAAGCAATTCCTGGTTATGGTTGTTCCTATCTTAACATGTACTTCTGCTATCAAAAGATGTGCCTTTCCTCTTTATTTCAATTATGTGTATTTATTTGTATTCCAAATCCTCCCAGCACCTAATCCTTTGCCTAGCTTCACAGCCAGACTTCACAGGCTGTTTTTTACAGCCTATGCACAAACCTGTCCTTTATTTGGTAACATCCACGTTTATTTCATAGCAGAGCTACACAATTTATTCTCCCATCTGTGCAGCAGATATTTTCATGGTTAATCTTCACAGGCATTAATGGAAACCAATAGCACAGATTCCTTGTGCATCACTGAGAGTTTTGTGAATGAGGTGGTTAGTGAAATATCTTGTTTTTCCATGGAGCTTCATGAAGCAAAGTTCCCCAGCTAATGAGTTTCCCTCTGCTTTCAGCAGTTCTTGTTCTCTGTTTACGGTCCTGCTCATATTTCACTTTCAGTCCTAACAGAAAGCAAGCCTAGATTCTGCTCAAAACCCTGCTTCAAGGGTAGAGAAGACCACATTTTTTGGAAACCAATGGGGAAAGCTATTTCTTCAGAGTGGTTCATAATGCAATTGTTGGAAACTTCAGATCTATTTTCCTTGGCAAGCTGAGCAGGATTTGTAATCAGGTTAGATGTAGTGCTCTCGCATCTGGAGCTCAGGAAGGTGTTAGCTGTGCAAAGGTGTCGATTGCAGTGGAAATCTGCCAACATGGAGCAGTATATGACATGGCACTTCTTCAAGCTCAGCTGTTGGCTTCGTGCCTGTTTGGAGATCACATCATTTTTTAACAAGGGTGAAGCTTCCCTGACATACCTTGATTTACGTTGGGCGCTTGGCACCAGGAGCTAGCCAGTTTCCAAAATCCCTCAGGACTCTGAAAAGCACCTCATAGCCCCTTTTGGGCCCATGAAACACTTTGCTCCTTAGCTACAGAATATTTGCAGTGTCAGAGATGTTGCATTGAATGGATGAAGCCATCTCCCTTGTATCTATTCTAACCAGTGACATCAGACTAAAAATTAAATTCTGTAGTGCCTGATTGCCTTCTCAATTATTTCCCATGAATTGGGGGGTAACTTGACTAAAATAAACATTAAGTCATATTTTCTCCAAGAGAACAAGCAGCTTCACCGTGGTATGCTTTGTAGTTTTATGGCTCAGTAGAAATGTGGCTGTGAGACTGCCCAGGTAATAATAATTTCCTCTGGATGCTTGAGAGATCTGCTACAACTTTGAAGTATCATGGGTTAAAGACACCTTAATGTGAGACTGAGGTATTTTTAATGAACCTTTTAGTCCTACAAGAGGAGGGAAATGCTTACTGGGACACTGTAAAATACTAGGATTGAGGTTTTTCATATGCTAATAGGTTGAGGCATGAAGATGGTTTGCTAAGTTAGTGTGGGAGTGACCTTTAGCTCTATCATCACATCCACTGACCAATAACCTCAATATCTTAAGAAGATCTGTGTCAAACACAACAGGCATTTATTTAGTCCTCATCCACAGGGATGAACAGTCTCTATGAACACACCACTGAGGACTCTGTGGAACTGAGGACTCTGTGGGCATACACTGGTGTCACTGCTGCAGCCTTAAGCTGCCATGGCAATCATGAGAGTGTTCAGCTAATATTTACTGCTGATGCTGAAATTTCATTTCCCAGAAGACTTCCTCAAAGCATCCACAAGCAAAATCCATTTACTTCATCTTTGGTCCTCAGAGATGCATCAACATATAAAGGCATTTAATTGCTGCATTTTAAATGCTCTGCTCAGAGATTAAATATTGCACAGAAAAATGGATTCAATAAAATGGAGCACAAATCATTACAATTTCAAAACATAAATCTCTTTGTTACTGCTCTTTTGCTGCTGCTGCAAATTGTTGGCGTGTTTTATTGGAGCTCTTTTTGTCTGTTTTTCTTTTAAAGTATGTACGTAGAAAAGAGGTTGGAAAATGCAGGTGGAACGTGAGGGTATTTTTTCAGCTTGCAACAGTGAGATCAGGAAATATGTTTGGTTTATAAAATCATATGTTTGCAGGGTTCTGCTTCCATATGGGAAGTAGAAGGGTTGGATCATTTGGAAGGGAGTTCCTAAAGATATTCCAAAAGAATGAACTTTTGAGATTATCCATTTAATGTGCCAGGACATCTTTTTTTTATATGAAATTTAATCAGCATTTTGTAATGACATTATATTTTATATTGCAAATTACATATTGTAATTACCTAATTACACATTGTAAATATATGATTACATGAATTTGCACCAAAATTCATAATTACACTTAATTACACTAATTGCATCAGTCTAAGCTAATCAACTATAAAATACAAGAAAAAGTCACACAAACAAACCCTACAGAAAAGAACATTTTGAGAGTGAGCCCACACTCCCAGAGTACCCAGAGGCACAACACTGCCTTATATCTGGAAAGGAATTCATAAGTAGAGCTGTGTGGGAAACAATTTCTCTGACCTGAAGGTGCTTTTAAGCTCTCAAAAAACTGCTTCTGCTCTGTATTAGGGCAAACACACCTCTGTACCTCACAAGTTTGGGGAAGGTTTAATTATTGGGGGGGTTTCTCTTTCTCTTTAAAAATACAGGAGATTTCTCATCTTCCCCAGATGTAAGGATCTAGGGAAGGACTTGGCTTCAGTGAATTGCCAGTTTCCACCAGAAAAGCAGAAACAGCTAATGCCAGCTTCACTGGGAGCAGCAACTGCTTCACATTTCTTAAAACCTAGCCCTAAATCTTCCACTAGAGTACCAGGGCAGGATTTACCTCTGTTGTGCTGAGGGCAATGGTCTAAGGAGATGACTTAGTTCTGGAGCACAGCCTTGTTCATTTGAGGTTCATCTAGCAAC